CCGCGGTGCCTAGGAACAAGGTCAGAGACGTGGGGCTGAATAGCTCACCCCGCTTCACCCCCCTGCAGTGATTCTGTATCCACCCCTGTCCCAGCCCTGCCCCCAGCCCCCTCGCCCACCCTCTGTCAGCCCCATATCCCCTCCATCCCCAGCTGGTCCCCTATTCCTAGCGCATCCCTTGCCCCTCCTACCCGTTCCTACATCAGCACACGGTTGCTTTCCTTATCGGCGCTCACATCCCGCTTTCGGGCCGTAACCCCATGCTGCAGGAGGCGCTTGGCATCCGCCCGCACATCCTGGTGCTGAACAAGATGGACCTGGCTGATCCCCATCAGCAGCCGGTGAGCGCAGGGTCACTGGGTTAGTACTGGCTGGCTGCGACCCTGTGGGGCTGCTGCGTGCCAGCAAGGCCGTTCTCCATCCCTTTAGAAAGTCTTGGAGCAGCTGAAGCAGGAGGGATGCTCGCATGTCGTCTTCACTGACTGCCAGCGGGATGGCAACGTGAAGAAGGTAATGTGTCAGCAGCCCCAGGCCCTGCTGTGCACCTTCCTGCCAGCACCCAAGGGCTACAGGCCAATTCCCAGGACACGTGGTCCATGGAGAAGTTTGTGTGCTTCACTGTGGGCAACGTGACATACAACTTATGTCCACGGTACCCTTCCTTTGCAGTTTGGTCCAGGTGCTGTGTACAATTGCCGTTCTCTCCTTTGCTCCTGTTACAGTGTCCAGGAGGACAGCCTGCTACCAGCTGAGGAGCAGAGCTGCCTCACAAAGCCACCCTGTTAGAGCCCTTCTCCCTGTTTGTTTGCAGATTGTTCCCCTGGTTGCCAAGCTGGTCAGCAACAGCCCACGCTATCAGAGGGCCGAGGTGAGGAGCGGCAGTGAGACTGTGAGCGTGTGTGTGATGTTGCTCTGAGCCTGAGTCTCAGTACGGCTCCCAAGGGGCAGAGCTGGCATCTGGCAAACAGGTGATCAGGGAATCAGGGCTGGAGTTCGCAGGATGCGTTCTACTCCTTTTGGAGTTAAAAGGGGGAAGTCTGCTGCATTTACGCTGGAAACGCAAGCAAAAGCTTGGTGGCTTCTCCTGGTCACTGTTGTGACTGCTCATCAGTCCTGGCTCCTGGGGTGGATGGTTGGTGACTGGCTGGTCCCTGCACATGTCCTCTTTCCTTCCAGAACGTGGAGTACTGCATCCTGGTGATTGGTGTGCCAAACATGGGCAAGTCATCGCTCATCAATTCCCTGAGAAGGCTGCACCTCAAAAAGGGTATTTTTTTGCGGGTCCCAGGTGTGGGAAGGAGCAGCTGGCACAGCTGCAAAGAGGCTTTGGGCTGCTTCTGAGTCATGGAGCAAGAGGTGGGGGCAGAGCATCACTTAGTTTTCTCACTCTCTCTCATTTCACTAAAGGAAAAGCCACTGCGGTTGGTGGCGAGCCAGGCATCACCAAAGCGGTGCTGACCAGAATCCAGGTACTGTCCTTCAGACCCAGCTAGCTGGGTCAGTGCTGGTCTTGGGGAAGGGTCTCTGTGTCGTGTTTCTACCTGTGGCAGGGCTGGGACCCTACTGATGGGGATGGGCAGGTCTCTGTGGTGGCTGGCACCTTTGGTCCTGATACTCTGTTCCTGCAGAATCAGCTCTGATCTGATCTGTCTCAGGCTAGCAGTCTCCAGCGATGATGTGTGGAAGGGCCTGCTGGGATGTGGCATTCTCCTGGCTTCTGCCCTACCAAGGGTTGCTTCTGAAGGCAACTTCTTTTGGCTAAACGCTGCCTTTTCCACAGTAGCTCTAGAAAATATCATGAGACATGTAATCCAAGCTGGTCTGTTTGGTGTTACCCAAGTCACCTTTGCAGCAACATCTCAATAAAGGGTTCAACACCTTGCTTGTTAGCAATGTCGCCACCTTTGCCTGAGTCCTGTGTTGCCAGTTATTCAGCTGCAGATCCCTGCAGCTTCCCAACAGTCCTGCCTTCCCCTATCCAGGTTTGTGAGAAGCCCCTGATGTACCTGGTGGACACGCCAGGCGTGCTGCCTCCGAAGCTGGGGGATATGGAGACAGGCATGAAGCTGGCACTGTGCGGTGAGGTGGACTTTGCACCTGAGTTGGCTCTAGCCGCAGGGCCCGGCGGGAGGAGTGGTCCTGGATGATACTCTGGATCTTTTGAATGTGGCTTTGAGCCCCCGGCTGGGCCTGGGCCTAGGTTGTGACTCTACCTCGGTGCAGGGGGCTGCCACTTGAAGCCCTTAGTATCTTCTAGGCTAGTGTGCGCTGCTGCTGGGGCTCTGTTTGGAGGCCTTGAACTTTGCACTTGGTTTGGTGTCCATAGAGCTCACATGGGCCTTGGGGGGAGATGGACTACAGCTTGGCCAGGTCTCAGAGCATGGGTGCTTCAGAGTAAAGCCTAGCTGGAGTGATATCGGCATGCCTGAGGCTGAGAGCGCTGAGTTTTACCCCTCTTTTCCAGGAGCCATCCGTGACCACCTTGTGGGGGAGGACATCATGGCCGATTACCTGCTGTACACGCTGAACAAGCATCAGCAGTTCAGGTGAGCATGATGGAGGGACTGGAGAGGGATCCCTCCTGTATTGCTTTTCCTGGCACCGGGATGCCTTTCCCAGCCTGCCTGTGTCCTTGCAGGGGCAGGAGATGCAACATCCCAGCCCCGTCCTGTTCCTCCCCCAGCCCACACAGGTACAGAGGCTAGGACGGAGGAGAGCAGAGGAGCTACTTTTAGTGCCTGCTTCTGCAGGAAGAGCAGCTTTGAAGTGGGTGGTGGAGAAATGTCCTCCAGGAAAGGGGTGGTGGAAAAAAAGTGATGCTGGAGCTGTTTATGCCTGGTGCCATCGAGGTCTGGCCATGCGCCAGGGCTGGGTGGAAGCCATGTCCTTCCTACAGGTACGTTCAGCGCTATGGGCTAGCTGAGGCCTGTGATGACATCCAGCATGTGCTCAAGCGCGTGGCACTGACCCTGGGCAAAACACAGAAGGTGAAGGTGCTCACAGGCACAGGTGAGTGTGCATGGGCTCTGAGGGCAGCTCTGTATGCGTATTGCGAGGGAGGTACCTCAGTCCCAGTGATGCAGGACGCTGTGGGGTGCCTAGGCCAAACCCGGTCCTTTCGAGAGTGCTTGGCTCCAGGCTTGGTTGGCGGGGCAGAGAGCTAGCCAGAGCATCTGGCACCTTCCTCCGCATCCACTGCCGCCTCCCCTAGGGAACGTCAATGTGACGACGCTGGACTACTCGGCCGCTGCCTATGAGCTCATACGGGCTTTCCGGGCAGGACATTTGGGCAGGGTGACACTGGACTGAGCCCTGCCCCATGTGGGACAGGGCCTGCGTGTGGGCTCCCAGAGGGAGCCACTGGGTATCCCAGGAGCAGCGAAGAAGCAAGAAGCTCCTGGCAGACCTCTCAAGGCGGCTGGGCATCCCTCACCTCCCAAAGAGCCGTGCTGCTGTAGGGACTGCCTTCAGCCCTGCGCGCTGCACGGCACAGGGCTGTCTGAACACCGAGCCCCGTTCCCATGTGAGCAGGGCCGTTCCTGTATGAGCCCCGTTGTCTTCCACACAGCGCTGAGGCCTCATGGAGTTGGTATCTCAGCCTGGAGCTTTTTGTAACCAAGCTGTGGTGTGTGATTAAAGTGGCTTCTCTAGTCTCTGCTTCTGCTGTGGTTCGTGCCTGGCTGCGGTGCAGGGCAAGGGAGAGCAGATGGTATGTGGGAGCTCTGTGTTTCTGCCACCATGCTGCAGGGAAGCACAGCCTGTCACCTGAAGTGGAGGTCTCATTTCAGCCCCAGGCTGATGTAAGGGGACGGGGCATACATGATCTCTGCGGAGGGGGTAACACTGTGCTGTGATGATTGCCCGTAGTGTCACTGTGCAGGCAGGTGAAGGGGACCTCAGCCACTTTTCTTGGGCACTACAGTGGCCATTCAGGAGGGCCTGAGTGTTGGCAGGAAGGGAAAAGGAGAGGATGCTGCCTCCAGTACGGCCAAAACCTTTTTGGAGGCCACTTCCTCTCGTTCCTCACCCTGGAGGTGAGTTAGTGCTCAGGTGCTGCAGGTAGGAGACCCCATCCCAGCCTTGGGTCTCTAAGTAGAGACCTTCAGGCCTAAATGAAACCCCTGTGATCCAAGCACAGGGGTTTGGGGCTGCTAAAAAAGTTGTGTGCCAGAGTCTAATGAGGGTCCTACATCCCTGCCTGTCCTCCCTCGGTCCACGTCCAACCGCACATACTTTCTGCCCAGCTTTATTGCCACGTTGTCATCGTCAAAACATTTATAAACCCACGTACAAAGGAGTGGTACGCACGGAGTGCCTGAGGTGGCAGGGTTTGGCACAGCTGGAGACACATGGGGAGGCTGTGGAGGGGCACGCGGTAAGCCCAGGGCTTCCCATGGGGTCCTGCCCCAGGGCGGGGACACCTCCCTGACTGCGGGGGACAGGCAGGCAGTGAGAACAGCAAGTGCCAGGCTGGGACGTGGGGCAATGCTGGCTCCACAGGTGGGTGGTGTGGTCCTTGGAGCCGCTGATGGCCCGCGTACACGGCCTGCTCCTCAGCCCTGTGGGGTGGCCTGCCCTCGCAACATCCCAAAACAGGGAGAGCCGGATCGGGCACGGTCAGGGCCCCTGAAACAGCTGTGGGGTTTCTGAGGGTTGGGGTTGAGCCGTGGGCTGTGCCAGGCAGGGTGAGGAGGGGGACCTGTCAGAGGTGGAGGAAGGCAGCAAGCGGGCAGAGCCAGGACACAGCCCAGCCCGAAGAGTCCCAGGCTTGGGCAGCCGACGTCCATGAGCTGGC